ATGTTTGTCTTCATTGATCTAATGAGGGGACTATTAATGGCATCTGGCTTTCCAAGTCACTTGGCCCATGGCTCTTATATAATGACTTGGAAAAAATTCTAACGAGCGAAGCTAACATCTGTTCTTCTTCAACACATCTGACTCTAAGAAGCACTGAGTAAAAAAACAAGGCTGTCATTTTGTAGCACTAGTGCATTCTCTTAATCTAGGGGCTTAGTTTGCTTCCTCTCAGTGTGTAAAAAGAGGAACAGTGCAAGCAAAACAAGACCGAATGTGTCACGTGATGTTAAGGTCAGTATGTGTGGGCAAATTCCAGAGGCACGCCATGGGGATCAAAGAGTGGATTCAGACAGGCCATTCACCTCAAACGTGGACTCACCGTTCTTAAGTTTCACCTGTTCTGTTCTGGCCTGAACACTCAGGCCTTTTGCTGGTGACGACACAAGGTAATATTCTCCTTTGCCATTGAAAGTGTACCTGAGGCCGTCGAACGTTATGAAATGTGGATCCCCGAGGACGACACCTGCGAGGCATTGAGAAAAAAGCAGCGATGCCCACAAACATAATTATTTCTCATCTCTCGCAGAGCTTTTCTAATATCAACATAGAGGTTGCGATGTTGTTTTTAAACTAATGAGACGGAGTCAGTTTTTTGTTTTTCACATTTTAACTCTCAGCAATATTCTGTCATTCATTTACTTTACCGGTAAACCAATCTTGTGTAACTTGCTGCTCTAATGACCGTTTGCAGAATATATTATAAGGTTCAAGGAAGACAGAAGTATTTGGATAAAGATTAACAAACACTCAGTGTGGGCCTATTTATTTTAGCAATAAATGAGGATGTTTGACTTTTAAAAAAAAGATACTTACTACTGCAGTATGCAGTATAAGACACATTTTTATATAGCTGACTTACTTGCTGAAGTTAAACAACAAAATTAACTAGTCAATAATTCTGATATAAGACTCAAATAAAAAAGGTTTTATCAGGTCTTGATACCCGCTTTTCATTCCAATCTATGAATTAAATAAAGACATATGACTTGACTGAAGAGTCGTCTCACCTGCTCTTGGTGGTCGGTAGTTTTGACACCCACTTGAAGGTCGACGTTTTAAGTATATATGGCAGTGTGGGGACCACAAGCAGCAATAATAGAAGCTCATGACATCATAAAGCCAGTGGGAATACCCTGGCACCCGTGGGGGTTTAATGTAGGGTGGCGAGCCCCAGTCGTGAGCCCTGTCTGGGGTGCTTCCACCAACTGAGTCTCCAGTCAGCACCAGAGCACCTGTGCTGTCATAGCAGCACTGCTGCCCTGATCCATGGATAGGACTACAAATAATAAAACAAAAATCACAATAAAAAGGAAAAGCATATTTCAATTTTACATTTTTAAAAACTTGATTTTTTTCTTGATTATGCCACGCCTACCTGGCATGAATTGCTCGGACACAGTGGACACAACCTGGGTGGTAAGTGCACACACTCCCCCTCTCAATGTCACAACTATAATCAGTCTGAAACAGCAAAATGGATGGAAAATAAATAACAATGACCGGTGTAAATCTTTAACAGGTCTTGACAATGTTACCCTCGCAGTCCACTACAAAGGAACAAATCAGCCAGACTGACAATTTAACTGAACAAGATTAGAAATATTTTCAAAAAGACAGGAGAACAAAATCCAAAATCCTCCCCTGCTGTCTTTTAATTTCCACCCTTATTAGCCTTACTAACCGTAACCCTGAGAATACTAAAGAACAGCTTCCTTTTAAAAACAGTTCAGAACAGTAAAGGTTCTTAGTTGGGATTTTTTAAGCTGTAAATCAGAATCACATCCTTTATTAATCCCTAAAGACATGATGTAAATATACTTTTACTAAGGGTAAGGGTATGTAGACTTCAGTCTAGAACAACTGAAGAAAGGCAATCCAGTACAGGAGTCTTATGCTCTGTATCTGACCATGTGACACACAATCTGTACAGATATTATTTGAGGATTCGCTGAGGTACATGTACTCACATGAAACCTGCCTGTATCTGCTCGGGCCTGAGCCAGTGTGCAAGGACAGTCGATGAGTTCATTCAGGAAGTTTGGCAGGTTTTCCTCCAGGACATCCCACTTCAGACACTTAG